AAATCTTTTTTCCATTCATGCTTTCTCCAGTTCAGTGTGACCAGCTGAAAACTAACCATACCAAAAAACGAAGGGATCGATTTCCATCTCGATCAGGTCCTCACCTGCAATTCTGCCCAAACCCCGGGCAAGGGAGAGGCAACGGGACACAAGCAGGGTGAGTGCAGCCAGGAGGGGCCCTTTCTGTCACAGCAGTCTTAGGTCAGCTTGAGCCACCCTGAGCACACCCTCACTTCATCCTCCTCTTCCCTGGAGATGCCCCGTCCCCTTCCAGCCTCTCCCTTGCCGCTCTTGGCCCTCTCCTCTGCAGCGCACACCGGGCTCCAGCCGCGGCCCGTCCTGTTCCAGGTCCTCCTTCCCTACATCCTCTCGCTGCTGTTGCTGTGATTCATTAATGCTTCAGAGATACCAGTGAATGGAAAAAACCTAACCAAACAGCAGGTTGTGCTGCTCTGTACATTTTCTATAGTGACTCACAAGCCTGACCAGATAACTCCCCTTCCCTCTCCCTTAGTCACTCTCTCCCTCCCAGATAGGCTTGTCTGACTCCTCACTTCACTCCCGGCTTATTATGGCTCTGTTTTCTTTGCTGTTCCCTTTCCAGCCCGGGCTCTACGGCAGAGCTTCGGGATGCGAAGTTCTCCCTCGCTGACCCCTCGTGCACAATGAAGAGCAAAGGAAAACACTGACTGCAGCAACTTTGCCTATGGAGAAACCATAAAGCAGAACTGCGCTCTTGCCCCCCCGCCCCTTCTCCGCTTGGGCTACGCACAAATTACTTCGTCATTGTGGCGAAACAAATAAGGCTTCATTATCATTACCATCCTGATGGGAGTAAACAAGTTTATTTACACTTGAGCACTGCTGAAGAATAAAGTCATAGAGAAAAGTTCAGGGTAGGTGGCCTGTCTTTGTCATTAGGGACAGCTTTTACAAAATCACTGCCCGCTCGGCCAGACAGGCTGCTATTCAGGCAGGCCCGGGTTAATGAAAGTACGGTGTGTGCTTGTTAAAAGGAGGACTACAACACTTGTAATCATGGGTGGTCACATTTTTATTTAATGATACATATCTTTCCTTTCTCCAGAGTTTGCTCTTAACCCTTTGCCTCCCACTCACCAGTCCGTATGCAATGACTAATTACGACTCGCCAAGTAAAATCTGATACCAGCTCCACAACGAGCTGAACCCACTTACCAAGTGATTTTTATTTTTAAATAACCTTTTCATTAACAGCCCTGAGATTCCAACAACGCAAAAGGACCCCAAAGCACAAAGGGCCTCACACGTGTAATCACCGGAGTTAAAACAATAATGATAAAAGGACAACAGCAAACGAACTTGCGGGAAGAAAGGGCTGCAAAACAGAAGTGCTTCCTTTCTTCCAAGGCCTTCGTGTGGCCCCAGTGACAAATCTGTTGGGACAAGGGTGCTTCAAAGCCAGAGGTCGAACTCTCTCTCACTTGTGCGAGTCTCACAACTCGTGTCAATGGAGTTACTCTCAGGCAGGAGGCTCAGACCTGCTGTTCTGCTCTCACAAACGCAATGAAAGCCAAAGCCAGCCATGACGGGGAAAAATATCTATTTACCTATGACATGACCTTGCTGAAGCCCTGGGTACAATCACGCTACACTAAAAAACCTCCCAACACCTCCCAACTTTCCTGCTATTTCTTATGACTAACCAATCTGAAGTGCTCACGCCTAAATCGTGGGGAAGTTCAAGCTCAAATATATACTTTTTTTACATCTATTTGCTATATTAAAGAGCCGCATGGAAGGACAAAGGCAGAATTCACACACAAAGGCAGAATTCACCATCGCTCACCCTATATCTTCACCTGCCTGTTGCAGGCTGTTACTTCTTTCTGTGGTCATGCCCAGAAAGTTTGCCTGTCTGTCTGCCAGCACCCCTCCCTCCCCACAGTCATTTTTTAACTTCTCAAACACTTTTGACAGAGCAGCAGAGACGTGAAGACACTAAATTTCTCCAAGTTTTAGAAAACCCGCAGCTGTATAAAAAGCTGATGCTCCAGTACTTCACGTGAATTATCACTTGTCACTTAGGTATCTTACTCACAAACATTTTCCGATGGTACTTAGGAATGTACTTAGCTTTGTGCAATGACGTTACTTAGCTGCAACCCATCTCTTTGGTTTCCTTACCAGGTCAGGGAAGACCTTCTCCCCATGGCTCCTGCCCTGCTGTCACCTCGTGCTCCCCTGACCCAGGAGGGGCCAAAAACGTCTGTCCCCGTGTCCCCATCTGAGGCCTGGGGCAGCACTCGAGCAGGTACTGCCGCTGATACCGAGAGAGGAGAAGGAGCAACACGAGCATGTCACTACCTGCCCCGGTGCCCCCAGCGCTCTCTGGCCCTATTTTAACCTCCGTTTCAAGGTATATTTATTATTCTGGAGGAAACAGCCCGTTGGCTCCGTGAGTTATGATAAGAGGGTGAATGATGGGCTTTCAAACTCGGGGCAGCCTGAGCCTCCGCATATTTCAGGTTCAGCAAGCAAAACTCAGGTAGCTAAAGGTGTAATTCAGTACTGTTGTCACAAGTCTGTGGGAATTAACTTCAGCAAAGCTCCCATAGCTCCTGGGAGAAGGCCACGCAGGAGCCAAGCCGGAGACCACTGGAGACTGTCGGGGAGCTTGGCAATAGCCGCAAGGCGAGCCGCCCTCCTAAAGAAGTGACCAACAACCTCCTTCCCTTATGCCGTACAACGCAACAGATGGAAACGGCTTTTATATTTTTCTTCAAAGCGAAATACATTCTAAAAAGCACGGGAACCTTGGCGGTGATTGGCATCACCGAGGGATCTGGTGGGGCGGCGAGATCGTGCCTTTGGCCCCAGAGCTCCTGGCTGAGTGCGGGAATCCTGCCCAGGGTGCCTGCACTGCACACAGCTGCTCTCCACGCACCTCGTCCCCAATTTGCGTGTACAAACCTGGGGTGTGAAGGCATGCATGTTAGTCAGGGCCACAGTCTGCATAAATAAGGAGAGCAGGTGAACCGCCGCGGCAGGAGGGTGAACGAAAGCATTGCTGAGGCTGCAGGTGACAAACAGGGCAGAGTGTTGCCTCTGAAGCAGAGGATACAGATATATTTATTAAATAAATACGCTAAGATAATAGGCAATGCTGAAACAATGTGCATAACTAATACTCATTGCTTGAAAATCATTAACCTCTCCAAGCGCTTTACACATATCAACAAGCAACCCGTGGAGCCCTGCTGCTCTCCCCCGCGGGAGGCAAACCAAGACGCAGAGAGTGAAGGATCCCGTTTCCAGATGATGTCCCTGAATTTGGGAGCCCAATATGAGCCCCTCTAAACTAAAAGGAGTGCTTTGAAAAGAGGAGATGAGAATGAGGGGGGTTTAAAACAGAGTGATAGGAACTGTGTCTCTGTATACACAGAAGG